TGGCAGCCGTTCCCAGGGCTCCGTCCAAGTCCGGGGGAGCTGGGGGCACTGCCCCGCCTGCCGCTCTGGGCCCGTCTGGGCCTCGCATGGGGGCTCCGGGAGTGTCCAGTCAGTGTCCTCGCCACCTGACAGGGTCCCCAGTCTCCTGTGACTCACAGGGTGGGAACCCCGGGACAGCGCACGTGACCCCCGTTGTGGGCAGGGATTAGGAAGGCGGGGCCTCACTGAGGTGCAGCTGGTGGAGGTGGTGACGCCCTGCCCGCCCCCTCCTTGCTGTGCTCTGAGTTCCGGCCACAGACATGGTCCCACCCGCTTGCTCGGCCGCTAGGGCAATGGCCAGCAGTGGACGCGGTGCCCTCACGGGGCCTGGTGTTGGCACATGTGTCTGCAGGCCCCAGGCCCCTGCCTGGCACACTGTCCCTATGGGGGACTCCAGGGCCTCCTCCCCTTGTCCGGTCGGCACATCCTTGGGGAGCCGTCCGATGTTAGTGGACAGGTCTGCTCCCAGCCGCCTGGTGGCCAGCTCCTCGGGCTGCGGCATCCCACCTGGGAGCCCGGCCTGGATTTGCCCTTTGGGCTGGCAGGCCCCCTGATCCTCACCGAGCCTTTGCCAGGATGTGTTGTGTTGCTGTGTGTGCCCAGCACACTGGGTGCCCGTCAGACAGGGCCCTGAGGCCGCCAAAGGCTGCTCCCAGCTCCGCTGCCTGTGTGATGCTGGGCGTCTGGGCAGAGGCCCCCAAGAGGAGGTACCCGGGTGCGACCCTGTGCCCGCTGCCTGGTGGCCCCATCGCTGTCCCTCGGGGTGTGCGTTGCCCTGGGCCCCGCTCCTGCGTGCCTGCCTCCCAGGGTCTCGGGCCATCTGCTTCCGGCGGTGCTCGATGCTGAGTGTGTCCACAGGATCCTGTTGTCATAGCTAATTCCTGCCGGAGCGCCAGCCCGCGCACCTGTCACCGAGTCGGGGCCGTGACGTCTCCTTACATCAGCCCTTCAGAGCCCCACGCGCCAGCACCAGCCTGCGGGTCCCTGTCGCTCTGGCCGCGTTAGCGTCTCCCCTCGTCGCCCGGTGGCACCTCTGTCACTGCAGACGGGTGGCCAGGAGCACGATGACGCCCGGAGCGCCCAGCAGTGTCCCTCGTGGGAGCAGCAGACGTAAATTTGAGCAGAAAGTGAGCCGTGTGTTTGGAGACCCATTGAGAGACCGACTGCTCAGGCTCGGGGTGGGCTTTCCTCCCGGGCGGCCAGGCGGCTCTGCTTCCTTCAGACGGATCCCTGCTGGCAGGACGTGTGGGCCATTTCAGGAAGCGTCTGATCACCCAGCAGTGGCCTGGGGTGGGCTGCCGCTGGGCCTGGGGCGCTCCCGCCGGCTGCCCCCTGCAGTGCAGCCTGGT